TATATATATATATATATTCATTGTCACATTTCTTTCGCTGTGAGCTACCACAAGATCTTGTATATATTTCCCTGTGCTATACAGTATAATCTTGGTTATCTATTCTACAAATGCCTGTCAGCATCTACAAATCTCGAACTCCCAGTCTGTCCCTTCCCACCCCACTCCCACTGGCAAAATTGCTAATCCATTAAATCTATGTTACCCCTTAAAGTTTGGCTATTTCTTGTTTATTTTTTGATTCATTATTAAAGCTCCACAGGATTTTCTCACCTTATATATTTCCTGCCTCTTCATGGGAAGGCCAGTTTCAGTGATGACAAGAGACCATAAAGTCTGCAGGCGGCCATTTTGGCCAGTCTTTATTTAGAGAACAGTGGATTGCATCTCCTTTGCGGGGTCAGGATCCACCGCCACTCGGCAGGTGTAACTGCTCAGGCAGTGCCCCTCATACGGGATATGCTAGAGGGAAGCTTTTGGTAACCAGGAGGACTTGTCATTACCAAGTTCTGTGCACATTTTAAAATGTTTCCTTCAGTGCATACCTATGTTGGGTTAACAATTGTTTCAATAAATAATTAGGTGCTAGATTCGGTTTATTTAACCGTTAACACTCAGTGGGTTATCCATTCTGATATAGGCTATATGCAAGGAGATATATTTCTTGTTACCCATCTGAACAGTATTGTCTCTATTAGTAGACTAGTCCAGTATTAAATAACGAGTTGGTTAATATACTTTTGGTCTTAAGATAAATGTGTTCTTGCCCTTGAATGCTTTCATAATTGGTGGCTGCTTTTTTGTCTTTTTGTCCATTTTTATACTTTTCTATGTCTCTGGATCCTGTGACTTAAAGATAACTTGTTAACTCCTTATCAAGCAGGGACTGAGCAAGGAACTGGCACAGCTCTGGGAACAAGCCCCTCCTTTCTTTGTTACTGCCCCTCACTTTTGAGGGGGCTGAAGCCTCCCAGGAGCAGGCTAACAAAGAGGAGGAATTCTTTTCAGGAAGCTGGGGCAACAGAGGCTGCCCCCAGGCCAGGCAGTGGGGGAGATGGGAGCAAGTCGACTGGCTCTCCCGGGGCTGCCCCCCTCCACGCTTCTGCCTCTGCTGCTGCCTGGTGTCCATTCCGGGCCGGCCTGCCCCCTCCC